CGCACTTTTTAGTCGAACCGAGCGGCCGGCTCTCACAGCGCATGCATGTGGTAATTTATTTGTCTGCTAGTGCACGTAGGCGTGGCATTAAATACGTTCACACTGCTCCTTTAGTTTAAGAAAGACAGATCCATCTGCATTTATTTCGGGTTTTTAAAAATTCAAAAAGCTATATCTTTCAAACCGCGCGTCGGAATTCAAATCTGTTTTCACCATTGAAATCCTTGCGACGAGATCTTTGAAACTAGATCCCGCATGGGTATATTTTGACGAATTTTTTCGGTGCCAACTTTGGAGCTATATAGTGCAACTCTATTACTGCATTGTGCAACTTTATTACTACATCGTGCAACTTTTTTCCAAAACTAATGTTTGGAGCTGCGCCTTCGTATGAGGTTACAACCTAGCAACCACGACAACTTTGATGTGCGACTAGTCTATTGCCTCGACGAAAGTCGATGTGCAACCTCCTCTTGTAATGTAGTCTAGTCGCACACACATTGATGTTTAGTTGGCTTGTAATGTAGTCTAGTTGCACATACATTGATATTTAGTTGGCTTGTAATATAGTCTAGTTGCACACACATTGATGTTTAGTTGGCAGAAAGACTAATTGCACACGCATATGCTTAGTTGGCTTGTAATTTAGTCTAGTTGCACACACACTGATGTTTAGTTGGCAGGACACTAGTTGCACACACATATGCTCAGTTGGCGTGGCAATCTAGTCTAGTTGCACACACATTGATGTTTAGTTGGCAGGACTTTTTTGGCACACACACATATGCTCAGTTGGCGCGGCAATCTAGTCTAGTTGCACACACATTGATGTTTAGTTGGCAGGAAGACTAGTTCGTCGAAACATCCCCATGCGGGATATAGTTTTGAAGAGCACGTTGCGAGGATTTCAGCGGTGAAAACGGATCTTAATTCCGACGCGCGGTTTGGAAGATATAGCTTTTTGAAAATTTGAAAACCGAAACAAATGCATATGTGATCTGTTTTTTCCAACTGATTGTGACCGATGTGAATGTATTAAATGCTAAAAGATACATGCGCTAGCGGACAAAAATTACACACATGTATGTCTATGCAGAGCAGACGCTAGCGGATAAAAGAATTTCTATTTTAGGCCGGCCGCTCGCGCATGCCAGCGAGCAGCCGGCCGCTACATAGACTCGTCCAAAATTCTATAGCTACTATTTTTCATTTTAGTGGTTTATCTATTTGGTAATTTGCTCTCTTTTGTTATGTGGTACAGATATAATTACGTAGTTTATTACTTCCTTTCGTTATGTGGATATAAATATGTTTGCATTATGGTAACAGTCCCAACACTTGAATAGTTCGGTGTAAGGTCGATTCAAATAGGACACATCTACATCTAGTATCTCAATGCGCAGTTGAGGGAGTGAAAGGGAACATAGTTCAACAAAAAGGTAACCGAAGATAAGCAGGAAGGACATATGCTCATTGGTGTTTGTTCACTGTATCTACGGTTAGTAGGTTGTGAGAGTAGGCCTTCACCTGATGTAGTGCAGAATTGATTTTAATTTTTATCGTCATGTAATGCAATATCCAAATACAAATGCGCAATTAACTTGCTGAACAAAAATGAACAAGACAACAACTGTCAACACCACTCTAGGTACTCACTCAGGATACATTTCGTTGCTTATGTTCTACAGGTAGCCAATCTATACAAAAGTAGTAACTGAATTAAACTGTTGGCAACATCCAGCCAGAGTTAATAACAACATCTCTGCAGTTTAACTTTAGTGCCATTCTAATACAGTCGGCACCAAACAAAAGCGAAAGTGTTAACATGTTGAACATATAGAAAGGAACTGCCAGACTTAGTAGCCCACCTCTGGCAACCGCACAGAAGGAGGTGAACTGGATGCATTGGTTGCAGTGGATGAGCTTGTTTTTCCATAACCATTGGACCTCTCCAGCTCCTGCTGCTTGAGTGTCCCATCAGATGAGGTGTATGAAAACCTGCACAGAGAAATTGGCGGTGCAAAGTACATGGCCACTGGCATCTTCGGGGGAAGGTTTGGCAATGGTGCTTCAAACTTCAGTACACTTATGACCTGACGAATCGAAGGTCGGAGATTGTAATCTGGATGTGCACACCACAGTCCGACGACCATCAAACACGCTGCCTCTCTATCTTCAAATGTGCCATCAAGCCTGCTGTCAACTGCATTAAGAATCTTGTTTCTTCCATAGAGATCCCATACCCACTGAACCAATACGATCTTGTCATCGTCTTCCTTTAGTACAACTGGTCGCCTTCCGCATGCAATCTCCAATGCAAGAATCCCAAAGCTGTAGACATCAGATTCTTTGATTGCCTTGCCAGTGGTGACACACTCTGGAGCCATGTAACCCATTGTCCCAGCTAACACTGTAGTTTGCGAGGCTCGGTCGTGGTCAATGAGCCGCGCGAGCCCAAAATCACCAAGCTTGGCATTGAATGCAGAATCAAGCATGACATTGCTCGGTTTGATATCACGGTGAATGACACATTGCTCCCATTCCTCGTGGAGGTACAGGAGGGCAGATGCAACACCTGCGGTGACCTTGAACCTCAATGGCCATGTTAGCAAATTACTGTTATCATAGAGGTGTGTGTCCAAGCTCCTGTTTGGCATGAACTCATAGACAAGCAAGAACTCTCCATGCTCATGACACCAGCCCTCAAGCTGCACAAGGTTGCGATGCCTCAGCCGGCTGATGATCTTGACCTCAGATATGTACTCCTTCCTTCCCTGTGTAGACCCCTTTGCCACTCGCTTTATGGCAACATCGAGGTTTTGATCCTTCAAAAGGCCCTGGTAGACTGCGCCGAATCCTCCTTCTCCAAGCTTCCTCTCCAAAGCAAAGTTCCTTGTGGCGGCCACAAGTTCATTGTACCGAAATCTTCTTGGGCCACTCCCTTTTTCAAATTCACCATCAATGGACTCATGATACCCTAGCTTCTTTTGTTTCTCATTTCTTGATCTCCTAGTCCTAAAATGCAGAAGGCACCAAACCAAGCACACAGAACATACCATGACACTTATGGTAGTAGCCAAGCTTATGACCAGTACACTTCTCATCTTCTCAGTCTTCATCAGCTGCAAATCCGTAGAATTGAATTCCCAGTAAAGTATCTCATGGAGCTCAACAAATCTACCCGTGGCAGCTGAGAAGCCAATGGCCACTTTGCCTGGGAGGTATTTTCTGAGATCAACTGAATAAGATAAGGTGGAGTTGCCACTGAATTGTGGATCCTCCAGGTACGTCAAGAAGATGCTCAAGTTGAAGGAGCTGGCCTGGTAACTTACCCACGCATTGGCTATGCGACCATCATTAATGCTACTATTCCACAACACCTTGTCTACGGATACAACTGAATGGATGTCGATGCCCACATGGTCGCCTTTTGGATCCCATGTGTTATTGTGGCTGTCGAACTCAACAGCCACGAGCTCATTGGATGGGTCATTCTGATCACTCCCATTGCTGAAGAGGCCAAGAAAACCACCAGTGGAGCTATTGGGAACCACCGAAGGGTACGGTGAGAGGAAGAAGGCTAGGCCCTCACCGTATGGATTGTTGGTTGCGGTTAAGTTTGTGGCAGTTATCCTGAAGGTGAAGTGGGTTGAGAAGTCGGCTAACTGACCAGTGGTGGTATCCCAGAGGAGCACTGGATCGGCGTAGACTGCTCGGCCTACACTGTTAGTGATCTCGTCTTTGAGCTCGTCCTTGGTCAGCTTGATCCCCTTGTTGTAGAAGGCATCCTCCTGGAACTTGATTGCGGTGGACGCAGTATAGTTGGATTCGGTGAAATTCAGCTTGAAGGACAGAGGACTGACGCCGGCAATATTGAAAGTGAAGAATAGGATGAACTGGAGAGCCAGGAAGCAAGTTCCCGTGGCTCTCGATCTCATGGCTGGAGAAAGAGCGGCGGTGGTGGTGGGGGGTGGTGGAAGCCTCGAAGGAAGGAAGAAGAGGAACAGAAACAACTTCTGCAGAGCTTAGAAGTTGTCACATATGCATGGTGCTGCAAGTAAGCAAAGAAGGTATCAACTTGGTCAACCGTTGGTGGCCTTGCAGTGCTCGGGTTTGTCATACTGCCGGCCTGCCAATTCCTGAGAAGACAGATGTAAGACAAGAGAGGAGCAGCTCAGGTTTGGAGCTCTAACATTGGTGGAGGTGGAGCTATCTGAAGCTCCAAAACAATGAATAATGAGTCGAGCTTTCCAACAGGTGAGACGGGGCTTGGTTTGCATCGCCATGGCCGGCCAAGATTAGGGACAAAAGCAGGCACCACCATGGAAAGAGGCCACGGGGCTCGGGGATATCCGCCCAAATGTTGTTCTGATGGTCGAAGACAGGAAGCTATTACGGCCGCTTCGTTCAGCAGATTGGAACAGGTATTGTTATTGTATAAGTATAGTATGTGGCAGGCTTCGCCCGAATGGGTTCAGACATTCGGCCTGAAGGAAGGTTCCCTTCGACATGACGTTTACCCTTAGCGATCTTGATCATGACGTGTTGTTTTCTTCATATTTAGTTAAATCGAGCAATCTCATGCTGTGCATCCCCAGGACTAAAAAAAGGGAAGAGAGAAGGAAAGTCAGTAAACCCGAATGCTCAGTACAAATCTTAGTATGGAGAACACAGGCACACTGTCAAACACGAACAAACAAAATTATCACACGTTCTGATATTTTTTGAATGCCCAATACAAATCTTAGCATAGAGGACACAGGCACACTGTCAAACATGAACAAACAAAATTATCGCACGTTCTGATATTTTTTCGACTTCACAGGACAAAAATCATCAAGTGACATTCACACAAACCCCTACGAGAGAATGTACGCCGATTATCCTATTCATTTTCTTTCTGATAAAGGACTATATCCACAAATGAGTAACTCAAATCGACACTCCACGTGTAGTACATTATCGAGTGAAGCAATCATATCCTACTCAACATGTAACCGTCAATCTTGCTTGTCGCTGGAGTTCGTGTCATCAGTTGGCCACACCACTGTTTCCATTAGCCTCTCACGCATGAGCTCCAAGTTCTCATTCGAAATCCTTTCGTACATTTTCGTATGGTCACATTTCTGATCATATGCCAAAAAGAAAAAAAAACGGAGAGGTAAATATTTTTCTTCTGCATTTTGCATCCTATGCTTATCTTAGAACCGTTGAAATGGCTCTCTGCCTGCATTTACCTTGATCCATCTGCCGTATAAGTGAAGGCGTGTGACCATCACCCTCTCTGCCAGGTCTTGCCTCTCCTGGTATCCATTTACGAAACAGGTTAAGAAATTATCAGGAACGCACTGCTGTATTTCCTGGTTTTTCTTTTCTGTAACCTGGGGGAGCAAGAGACAAAGATGGTACCTTCGAGAGCGCTCGCAGGAAATGTATACCCTCTTTTGCGTCATTGACGACAAGATAACTGACAAAGGAGAAGTATAATTTTTGAAAAAATATTTCGAAGTATTTGAACTGTCCAACAGGGAAACCAATTTGCATTCAAGAGGCCAAGGAGAAAACATCTTACTTATAAAGCCAAGTGTATGCCGGCGGATTCATCTCATACAACTGATAGAGTACCGTCTGTGTGGCCTTGTAAGTGAAGTAATTCATGATTTCCTGCAGATGGGGACATGTCAAAGGGGACGGCCATCGAAAAATATGGCATAGGCATATAGTGAAACAAACCACGGCTAAGGTAAGGGGACAGTCTAGGCCTGGTATGAATAGATACCCAAGCCATCTTTCGAAGGGACTATCTGGATCAGATAATTCCCATAAGAATCTTGTAGGATTTTGATACACCCTACATTCTTTTCCATATATAGACTTTTTGGATGAGAAAATGAGGCCATCATCAATATTCCTGTGGATTGTTTCTCACTCTTGTATGATTTTTGGCAAGATGCCATTTCCCCGTCTGAATTTGCTTTCATGTTTTGCATGGACTTTCTCTATCTTCAAAGGGATTGTCTATTTATAATTTGCTTTTCTCGGTAAAGATTTAAAAGTTGCTTCGGATCTTTTAAAATCTCATTCATATTTCTAAGCCTCTGCATCAACATCTAACTGCTCTCACGTCCAAAGTCGCTTCATATGTAACCTGCAAACCGAAATCTGCACTAGAATATTGCATGTTCAAAGATTGCAATTTTAGACTTAATAGTACACTGCTTTATCTGAATTAGTTTTTTCAAAAACAAAAACCCTAAGAATCAGCAAACTTGTTAAGGTTTTACTCGTTGTACTGTGATTCTATGTTTGAAAATGTGCACTTCTTAAGTGACCACTAATATTTATGGGAATCACGCGACAGAGGATTAGCAAAGAAACAAGTTCAGAAGTCCAATTGAGGATACGCATGAATATTCCCCAGAAAGAAAAAGGGTAGACACATGAATATTATCATTCCGTCAGAAACTACTGCTACTCTGATATATACGTATCAATCTTCGTAAATTTCAATGGGAGGAGACGTTCCCGTCGACGACGAGGCGCCTATGATGACTTCATAAATTTCAAGAAGATATGCCGGCTCAGTCTCTCGGAGGTGCTCATAGGGGTAGGGTGTGCGCGCGTGCTTTCATAGGGGTGAGTGTATGCGCGTGTATATGAGCGCTAGTGTCTGTACTGATGCTCAAAAAAAATCTTTTCTTTGCGCAAATCAGTACGCGCCCACCGACCTAATGTGGATACCAGTTAGTGCAGCGACCATTCACCGTACGTACCAATTCCACGTCCCCGAACCCGTCTTCGTACTGCCCGCCGAACGCGTCCGCGATGACCAGGCCGCGGCTGGCGCTCCCCCTCGGACGGCGGCGCCACCCCAGCCCGCCTCCGGCTCCGGCCGGTCCCCGGGACGGCGGCCGCGGAGAGACGGACGGCGCAGCCCCGGCCACCACCGGCGTGACAACCGCTGCGGCCTGGGCGACGGCCATCGCGGCGCAGTCGCAGAAAGCAAGAGGACGGCGAGATACTTCTTCTTGCGCACTGACGACCTCGGGCGGTGACACGCTGAAAGAGAAGGAAGAGATGCGGGATTTGGATGGGTGGTGTAGCCGTGTCCGTGTGACGGCGGTGGAGGGATCCAGGTGGGGCACAGACGCACAGTGGCTGAAGGCATGAGAAGAGAGGGTATTCTATTTTTCGTTATTTTTTCATTTCTTTTATGTTTCTTTTCCAGTTTCTGCAGAATCTTTTTTTAAAAAAGAAACTTTCAATCTATTCATCATCAATTATGATTATACAATGAATACCAAAATAATAAAAATTATATTCATATTCATAGACCACCTATCGACGAGTACAAGTACTGAAGCGAGACGAAGGCGCGCCGCCGTCATCGCCAGTCCCTCACTAGAGCCCGGCAAAACTTGTAGTAGACAGTCGGGAAGTTGTCATGCTAAGGCCCTTTAGGACCAGTGCACAAGAGCAGCAACCGCCGTCGTTGAAAAGAAATTTAGATCAAAGGGATCCTACCTGTAGACACACGAACAAATACCGAATCCATATGGATCCACCGAAAGACAAAAGCCGATCGAATCCCGCGAGATCCGCCGAAGACAAACCTCCACACACACCCTCCGATGACGCTAGAAGCACCAGTGGGACGGGAGCTAGGCGGGAGTACCTTATTCCATCTTCACAGAGCCACCGTTGCCTCGTCTCTCTAAGCAGGACACCAACCCTAAGAAAACTCAGAAAAGCATCAAACACACGAGAGGAGCGGCAACCCATCTCAACTCTCGCCTAGCCGGTACCCTCAAATCCCTCCCCTCTCCGGATCTCTATCTCCTCCCGTTGTCAAGGTCGGTGGTTTCCCTCCCTCTGTCTGCTACACCGGCGGCGAGAGAGGGGGAACCTTAGTTTTACATGTTCGGTATGTAGTTTGGATTAGGTTTTGGTTCCATGATGTTGTTCAGATGGAGGTGGTGACGTTGCTTTGAATAACAGCGACCTAGCTTCGACCCTATCTTGGCGGCATGGTCAATGACGTCTAGTAGCCTTTGGGCCAGTGTCATCGTTGGATGTGTGCTTCCACATCATCTGGTGTTGGTTTGATTGTTTGCTTGCTATTGGCGGCATCGTCTTTTGTGCAAGTTGTTCCCACCCATGGGCGATCACGGACTAGGTCACGAGTTCTTGCCTGTGACTTAGCTTAACTATCGACATAAATCGAGGCTCGCACCCCGGCGATTTGGCATCGTCCCCCATATCCCATCATACACGGTGGCTGGCTACTACGGCAAATCAACAAGGGGTTTACATCTATAGGCCTATGCGGGCAACACAGTTTTTGCTCTTCTTGTTTCCGCTCTCTCCTCCGAAGATGTGACGACGATGAAGCGGGTGGGTGGCGGATCCAATTTATAAGTATTGTCTTGTGGGATCAGATGTACTTCTAAGTTTTCTTATGGTTTTTTCATAAAGCGAGGACAACTGTCCTAGATCATGATATTTCTTTTGTACTTTTTTTCCTTAAATAATACTTCCTTCATCCGGAATTACTTGTCACTCAAATGGATGTATCTCGCACTAGATACATGCAGTTAAGCGACAAGTAATTCCGAACGGAGGGAGTATAATCCAGCGTGTCATCTCGACATCCCACATTGTCTCCGATACATTCTCTGCTCGTGTTAAGCTATTTAATTGTCCCCGTGCGTTGCTGCGTAGAAACTAAAAGAGATGTATTTATGAAATATTTTTTTTGCACCTCAGAATAATTTGTGTTAAGTTAGCAACCTAGCGGTTTTGAGGCATTTTGACAAACATGTGTGGCATGCATGACTTGGTGAGGAGGGATACAACTAGTGATGGGGCTTAGTGGGTTTGGGGAGGGGAGAGGGCGAGCG